GATGTGTCACCTAAATGTTAGTCGTCGTCGCATCAAGTTGCATGTAAATGGCTGCGAGTTATGACACTCACGATAGCCAGAAAAACTGTTAAATATTTTCGGATAAATCTTGGGTAACTCAATAATCGAATAAGCGGCTATTATACTGTGGCAGAAACGGTAGCAGACCGAGTGGCTTATTAATTTTAACGCCTCAACAATGGAACTGTTCTCTTTTAAACATACGAGAAACTATTTTCAACATGGCTGATGCTAACCTCCAGGACGCTCTTTCAGTGCGCCTTCTCGGACTAAATTTTCAATTGACATTAAGTGGAAAGAGTATATTGAATCAAGTCTGCATCTAAGAAATGCGGTTCTTTATGTCGTGCTAAACAATTTTTCTCGCCACAATCTATTTTACATATTTATAAGTCTACCATTTGTCCTTTTTTAAATATTGACGCCACATCTGGTCTTGTCTCTCCTGATATATATTTAGAGATTCTTGATTTAACCCAAAGAATAATTTGCACTCTTTTTGGTCATGACATGGCGTCTCGTCTTCATTTCCTTTCGCATGGCCGTAACAAAGTTTTCCTGTGTCTTTTCTAAAAATACTTTCTTGGTAATTATTCGGATGAACTTTACTCTGGGGTACCTAGATTTTATGAATTTAAACGCAGTACTAGATTGTCGGCAAGGTCTCATAAAGTTACAGTTGAAATCGATAGATGTAACCATTATTTCTATGCTAACACTTTCTTCTATCGCTCTTCTCGTCTGTGGAACTACCTTCCGACATCCTGCTTCCCAGTAAACATTGATCTTTAAAAGTTTAAATGCAATGCCAATGTTATCTTCTGTTTCCTTTATTCATATTCTTTTATTGTCCTCTCTCCTTAATAGTAATTTCCTCTCATATTCTCTAACACTCAATAGCCTCTAGCATCCTAGTACATTTATTGCCTTGTCTGGGGTGAAATGATTTTGTTAATAACAGTCTGAACATCGTCTACAGGTGCGTTAACTGTTTCCTTTACAAAAAAAAAGACAATGGTGAGTAATAATCTTTGCCAAATAGACTCGTGAACGCTTTTCAGTCTTCTCGTTGCTGTCCTTAAAATGAATCTAGGCCAAGTGACTAAGAACTGGTTTAGGAATATCACATTGACCACATTTGTTAACAGAGAAAGCTGACTCGTCAAAACCAAAATGTTTAGTAATGTTTCGAAAAGATATTTTCAAGATGATAACACACCTTTGAAAGCTCCCAATCTAACCGTTCGCAAATAGCTTTAAATGAACGTGTGTTAAGTCCGTGGCATGACACCTGCATCAACTGGACACATTTAGCACGCTTGATTTTATTGCATCATGAATCACCATCTAAAGTTTAGACGCAGACAAGGTTCTTGCTTCAATGTTAAAAGGTCACAATTCTGAAAATTGTATCAGAATATCCAGACCACCTAATACACATAATATACCCAATTCAAACTTGTGGTCTGAAAAACGCATTGCAGCGTGAACCTTAGAGACACTATGCAGTGTTGATTCTTATGCCTACCCTGTCTCTCTCTAGTTGTGTGTGATTATCTGTGTGAGAGAGAGATATTTAATGTTTGCCTGTATGTGTGTGTACTTGTGCTTGCGTATTTGTGGTTAAAGATAACAGTCCCTATGTATCCGCCTGTTATCGTTTGTTCATATCTATACTTATATACAACAATAGATCAATAAGTGCATACATTGATACAATTATTATATGTATTTTGTGGTAAGGCTTCCAATGTATAATGATCTATTGCCATCGGCCAAATAGCTGTAGTCATAGTCAGGCATATTTTTTCATTGTTGAAAGTTTAATAAGCAGATAAGTAGGTATCTACGGATAAGTTCAAATGTGCAAATTGATATATATGTATCACGATAGAAAGAGATAGATAGATAGATAGATAGATAGATAGATAGATAGATAGATAGATAGATATGAATAAACGTACATGATTGATAGGAAGAAACTGAAATATATGTTAATTTGTCTTAGATAGCTACCTCGATATCTAGATAGCGAGTTAGATAGATACATAACTAGCAGGATTAGATAGATAGATAGATAGATAGATAGTATAGTATAGTATGGTTTAGTATAAAATTATGTGAGGACGAATGATACAAATCAATAAAGTAATATTTTAGAATATGATATCATCCGTGTTCTTTCTTACCTCCCTTTATTCATAAATACCAAGCCTGTTCTCACAACAAGCAAGAATTCGTGCATTTTGCATAAATTATAACTATTTATTTCTTTGTATATATGTCAGAATGTAGTTCAGTGCTTTACGTATGTTGATATGAAGTGGGTTCATTGAACTCAAACTTCTGGTTAGGGGAGTGGAATAGTGGAATAGATAAATGTAGCCTAAGGAAACTGACGTGCTCAACGGAGAAAAACAACGACAGGAAAGTCAAAATATTGTAGGCGCAGAATAAATAACAATAAATACGAGCTTAAATTGAAGTTTTTTTTCAGGATCTCTTAAAATATAGTTACGCTGGAGACAACTGATTAGAGAAACTAACAGGATTGAACAAGGTTATATTCAAACAATATACAAATATAAAATTTGTCACTTAGTCGATTGATGTCATATCCAACACTCCAACTCCAAAGTTACATCGACGAACCTTTTTGGAGTCGCTCGCTCCACTCGTCAGAAGGTTTCAATGTTTACAAACCAAAATATAGAATCCATAAGAAAATAGGAAAAAAAAATTCTTCCTAAAAGCCCAATAGGAAAACTGATTCTGAACATACAAATTGGATCAGCTTATAGCGGTAGCTATACAGTAGTAGCCATTAAGTTTACCTTGTAACCAAGCGAATTGGAGCTTTAAGAATTAGAATGCATCAACGCAGATTCATCGCGAACCTTGTGAACTTTTCGGTGATTCATAGAATATGACTTAAGAAGACTACATGTTTTTTTGGTTTCATTTTAAACTACGACTTAACGGCCAGTTTTCCTTTTATTTAACCAATAACGGGGGAAGATATAGATTCCTACCTTTCCTAAGGGTATTTGCGTGAAAGTGAATGCAACGAACAGCTGGTATTCAAACTCTGTTCGTTGATTTCTCGTTTCGAACCGCTACCTTTAGGCCACAAGTACATCATTATTCAATGTTTTACATTCGTGAATTCCCCAACAATAGCTATAATAAGAAAAGAATTCATCCTGTGCTATATTCTATGTTACACGGTTTGACTAAAACTCAGTCACCTCAACTACTGACATCAGCATGGCTTAAAATCTCAAAAGAACATGTAAAAAAATGAAAAGCCTAAACTTAAACTCGGGTTATTAAACACTTTATACTGAGACGGCATTTAATTGTAGCAGTTTTACTAGTTTAGTTACCTCAAAATTTATTTCTTTTATATTTCGTAAACAACAACATAAAAACAAGCAAATATTGAAGCAAATTTAGTATTAATAAAGCAAATTCAGTATCAGTTCTCGTGCAAAATGTTAGTATCATGAATAGTACCCAAATTACTTATAAAATATCGCCTATAATGACGAATTGACTTTTATTGTTTTTCATTTCCTTTTACGGACTTTTATTATTTTTAATTTCTTTTTACGGACTTATTTATTATTCTTATTTCTAGTGTCTTCATCAAATGTTATTTTAGTAATTTATATATATATATATATTTTAATTCTTTTAAATTATTCTTTTTTTTTCTCTATTTTTCTTTTTAATTTATTTCTTGTGCCTTCTTTTTCCTCTCTTGCTGTCTTATTTTTCTCTTTCGGCCATTCTTTCTTTATTATTTCTCATTATGTATTCCATTGTTGCTTTCTTTTGTTTTCTCTCTCATACATTACTGCTATTTTGTCTTCTTTACTATGAACATTCTATGTATTTATCTATCTCTTTACTGTGAACATTCTATGTATTTATCTATCTCTTTACTGTGAACATTCTATGTATTTATCTATCTCTTTACTGTGAACATTCTATGTATTTATCTATCTCTTTACTGTGAACATTCTATGTATTTATCTATCTCTTTACTGTGAACATTCTATGTATTTATCTATCTCTTTACTGTGAACATTCTATGTATTTATCTATCTCTTTACTGTGAACATTCTATGTATTTATCTATCTCTTTACTGTGAACATTCTATGTATTTATCTATCTCTTTACTGTGAACATTCTATGTATTTATCTATCTCTTTACTGTGAACATTCTATGTATTTATCTATCTCTTTACTGTGAACATTCTATGTATTTATCTATCTCTTTACTGTGAACATTCTATGTATTTATCTATCTCTTTACTGTGAACATTCTATGTATTTATCTATCTCTTTACTGTGAACATTCTATGTATTTATCTATCTCTTTACTGTGAACATTCTATGTATTTATCTATCTCTTTACTGTGAACATTCTATGTATTTATCTATCTCTTTACTGTGAACATTCTATGTATTTATCTATCTCTTTACTATGAACATTCTATGTATCTATCTCACACACCCAAACACCCATCCATACTCTGTCTTTTTATTTTCACTCAATTTTTTCAATATATCATTTTCTTTCTCTTTTTTTGTTCTTGCTATTTTCAGTTTCAGTTTCAATTTCATATGCATTTATCCTTTCTTTTTGTCTTAATTTCTTCCTTTTTTTTCATTTTTTATTTCCTTAGCTTTCTCTTTCTTTAATTTTCTCTTTTCCCATTAATCGATTTCCTTTTCCCATCAAGTCCTATCTTTTCTGGAGACCCTAGTTTCCCCATGTTGCGAGAACCAGTCTTTTTCGTTTGCTTTTGTCTTGTAAAACTCACATCTGATCAGCAATAACAGTGCGATGCAAAAATAAATGTTGGACATTCCTGAATAAAAGGCTTCCTTAAATGGGGAAATACTTGAGGAACCCAACTTTCATTTTTTCTTTTTAATTCTCACATTTCCCGATTCACTTGAGAGCTTATAGCCATATCATGTTGAAACACAGCTTCACGTACGATCACCGAAGTTAAGCAACGTCGAACCTGGTCAGTACATAGATGTATGACCGCTTTGGAATACCAGGTGTATGCTTGGATGTGAGAGTGATATAATTAAATTTGTTAGTAGGAGAGCCAAATTATAGCCATATCACGTTGAAACACCACTTCACGTACGATCACCGAAGTTAAGCAACATCGAAGCTGGTCAGTACATAGATGCATGACCGCTTGAGAATACCAGGTGTATGCTTGGAAGTGAGAGTGATGTAATTAAATTTGTTAATAGTAGAACCAAATTCCAGTACCATTTGGTTCGTTATATTTACTTACGTGCAAATATCCTTGGGAAAAGTATGAATACACCTTCTCTCCTCCATCTATGGGTTAACTAGTAAGACTTGTATCACTAAATTATTGTTATCTCAAAAATATTGTTACAATTTAAAAATGTTTCCTGGCTTTAAATAACCTCCAAACTGGTTGATAAGACGTAAAAAACGAACTAATCAATCAAATCACAATATGTTGGTCGACATATTTTTAATCGTTTTCCCCTAATCAGTGCGATAATGCCAGTAAGATGCAAAAGGCTACTGGGAGGGAAAGAAAACGGAAACTACTTCAGAAGGAATCGGAAAGACAATCCAAAACAAAAATCAGGAAATATCTACTTAGTCTTTTTTCAAACGACCAGGAATGAGCGTGAAATGGACGGTGGGTGACATTATCTAATACTATTAAAGAAAAGAAATAATTAAAAAATAGCAAATAACATTTCAGTGTTGAGGCGAAGACGTTAGAAGCATAGAGTTCAATTAAATTTTACAAAGAACCGGAAACAGCATCCTAAACCGGAAATACGTGATGAACTTCTCTTCCTGCCTTCATCAGATACTTAACGAACTGTTTAACTGTTAGGAAAAGTCAAATTGCTTATTTAATCTAAAGGAGATTGTTCTCATTCCGCTACTCATGTCCAGGGATGTCTTTATTAACTACTGTTCAGTCCAATAGCTCGTCCCTTTTCTACCAAGTCCAAGATGATAGTACCTGATGAAGGCCAAATGGCTCCGGAACCAAAACATTGCGATCGCAACAAAAAAGACGAGGATCACAAATATTTGGATAAACAATATAAATAGTCATTTATTTCCAGGTATTTGATAACCTTTGACCATGCGCATTATCGTCTTTTCAAATTTTGTTCTATCCCAGTTATTATTTTTCATCTTTTAAATCTGACGTTTTCCGTCTTCGAAGTGTTGATTCCCTATATTTTTGGGGGCGGGGCAGTGTTTCTTATTAATCCGAAGTCATAAGCAGCTGCCAATACACCTAAAAGCCAGGCGTATTCCCCTCCACGTCGGTGTGACGTAATTACGCCATACATTTAAGATGGCGTCACCAGGTTATGTTGCCATATATAGGAAAATGTTAAGTCGTTTGAATTGGCACCTTCAAAAACGAATCAAACCATCTACAAATAATTTCAAAGAACAAGAAAATTCTATATATCTTTTTATATTTTATCTTCTTTCTTTCATTAATTTGAATAAAGTTCTTCTATTTAATGTTCTTTGTCGCAAACGGTGAAAAATTTCCATATATATGTGTGTGTATATATATATATATACACATATATATATGTGTGTGTATACACACATATATATGTGTGTGTGTGTATATATATATATATATATATATATATATATATATATATATATATATACACACATACATACATGTATATATATATATATATATATATATATATATATATATATATATATATTCTAAATTAACTGATTTAAAAATATGGTTTCCTCGTTACACAGGAATTAACATGTTTTAAAAACAGAAAACAAAAAAAACTTTATATTCAATTATATTAAATTAAAAGCATTAGTTTTGTTTAATCTCCATCAAATTTTGGAATAAATTATTTTAAAATGTACTGAGTATTTATGCTCTGTAAATTTACATTGAGCACTGTTTTGTAAAAATAAAATATCAATAAGAACACCGGTTTACATATCTTATTTTCTTCCTTTCCTTACTATAATATATATATATATATATATATATATATATATATATATATATGTGTGTGTGTGTGTGTGTGTGTGTGTGTGTGTTGTGTGTATATATATATATATATATATATATATATATATATGTGTGTGTGTGTGTGTGTGTTTTGTGTGTGTTTGTGTATGCATGTATATATGTGTGTATGTTTGTGAGCACATTGTATATACATATATAAGATACATGTATATTTACCTACACACACACACACACACACACACACACACACATATATATATATATATATATATATATATATATATATGAAATCATATATTTATAAATGTACACATGGAAGTGTAAATATAGACTTAAATATATATGCACACACATATATAAACGTTCACGGATTGACATCTACATACATCAACGGAAATATAAAAGAATAAAAAAAAGAACAAATTAAACTGAACAATGAATCAGACTAAAATATGTTGAATTAACATTAATGTCTCAGAGGAAGACCATGCGTTAACTTAATCTTGTTCCTTTGTCACTGCTTCTGAACTTCATGTCTGTAGTATGCAATGAGGTTTGTCAGAGAGGTTAAATGAAAATTTATGGAAACTACACACTTATAAATGATTGGCTTGTAGTTAAATTCAAGCCTCAATTGAAGTCAGGTATTATCATTTATATATATCTATGAAAAGATATTTACAAAAAGTATGGGATAAATAAATACAGAAGTGACTAATATAGATAGTTATATATATATATATATATATATATATATATATATATATATAGAGAGAGAGAGAGAGAGAGAGAGAGGGACAGAGAGGAAGGGATAAATAGACAGATAATATGCGATAATAATGTATGATAGATCGATAGATAGATAAATATAAACATAATTTGACAATATATAGATAGATAGATAGATCGATAGAGAGATATTAGTATAATATTATAGAAAGTTAGTAAGATATAATAGATATATCGATAGATATTAACATAATATGCTATATAGATAGATATTAACATAATATGATAGATATAAATATATTATAAAGAGAAAATGATAGATAGATAGATAAGTATTAATATAATATTAAATAGAGCTAATAATATATGACAGATATATGATAAACATATAGAGAGATATTAAAATAATATGATACATAGATATATATTAACATAATATGATATATATTTAACATAATATGATAAATAGATATTGACATCATATGATAGATAGGTATTAATATAATAGATAGATAGATAGATAGATAGATAGATAGATAGATACCTATTAACATGATATGATAGATTAAAATGAACAGATTGAGATAGATAGAGCGATATATTTGAATAAAATAAATAAATAAATATCTATGAATAGAATGAGATAGAAATGTATCCCAATAAAACTAAATTATATGTTTATTCATTGCCATAATTGTTATCATTTATAATTGCAATTGTCCGACTTGAAGGCATTTCTTCCATTAATGGCGCCTTTGTTGAAGTGAAAGTTGAGTGCCCGGATGTCATAGATTTCTGATTTTTGAATACCCAAACCCTAAAAAGTATTTCACAAACAGACCAGATGTTAATAGGAAGGTGGTTGGTGTGGTGAATAAATTTGTTAAGGGAAAACCTTTTAGCTTAATAATTGCACTTGCTTCAGATTTTTTTTTCATTTTGAAGTTTGACTGTTTCATGCATTTGCTTACTTCAGAGGAAACATCATCTTGTGATTCTGGAGTTATTGCTAACAAGCTGCAATTGTGCTCTAGGGTGTTATAATTCTTGTGAATGTTCCAGTTATAAAGAAGAAAACTGATGGCAGTATATATGAGTTCATTATTGATGGCGTTCAAACGTTTTTAAATATTAATATACATTACACATTTCTCATAAGATTTAATTCACTGAAGAAAATACCTTTTTCTGAGAACTTAAATGCTGGAACATTTGAATCCTATATTCCGATGAACGTTCGGTTTTATATTCTGATGAAATATCATTTTTTTATTGTTTTGAACTTTCGGTTTTATATTCCGATGAACAATCAGTTTTAGCGTTTGGCTTATATTTTGATGAATATTCAATTTTATATTATGAAGAAGATTCACTTTATTATTCTGATTATATTTCTGTTTTATATTCCGATGAACAAACAGTTTTAACGTTCAGTATCATATTCCGATGAACGTTAGGATTTACGATCTGATGAATGTTCGATTTTATATTCCCATGAATGTTCGGTTTTATATTCTAATGGACGTTCAGTTTAATAATCTACTGATGAACGTTATTTAGTTTACATTCCGATCAACATTCAAATTTATATTTTGATGGACGCTCGGTTTTATATTGTGACGAACTTAAATTCCCAATTTTGGGTTCTTTACAACTGCAATTTTCATCTCATATAATTGGATTTTATTCATTCTTCCTTTTAACTATATCTTTGAAGTTTGATGCGGATATATTGTAACAAATACGTTCAAATATAAGCTTTTTGGCTTTCCGAAAAGAGATTACCAGTATCATTAATGTCTATATAGAAAAATACAATAACATGTACGTAGAGACACTGTGTAAACATCTATCAGGATTCAATGATTCATACAAAAGATAACAGCAAAATGGACACCTGTTAGTTTCGTTGTAATAAAAGTTAAAATTTTACTCTGGACAATAAACGAAACAGATTCTGATAGAATTCGCGTTGAAGAATTTGTGTTTCGGAAGATCTAGATGTTATGAATTTGTCTTTGTTAAAGGCAATATAAAATTGCGATATAAAATTTATGAAGCGAAGATATACATATAATTGTCTATGAATAAATACAAAAGGAAAACTATATTTTATCAACGCGTCTCTGATAAACATTGTCAAGGATTTTATTTTGCAACATGTAAATAAATATATTCATAATCAAGTAAAAAATAAATATATAGGCAAATAAGTAAATAAACAAACAAATAAATATATAAACAAAAACATTTGCTTAATTTTGGTTATTAAACATTAAATAAGATACATAGTATGCTCCATTTTCACGTTGATTTTCACAATCTTAAGAATATTTTTGAGCATTGCTGAAGTCATTTTGCATATTTTTTTTTTTTACTTCTGCTTATAAATACATGTTTCAACATTAAATCGTAACATTTAGCTTAAATTAGTCTAACAGAGGACGGA